GACTGACATGAACCGTCTACAGCCACCAGAGGGCGCTCTAGGCTTGTGACAACTATATGCTGCCCCTGTACCACTGAAAAAAACGAAGAAGAGAGCGGACGGTTCTTCCGGGTTAGCTGCTTGTTAGCCATCTGTTGTTAGCCGTCTTGTTAGCTTGTTAGCCGTCTGTTGTTAGCCCGCCGTCTTGTGTCCGGTGCGGCGCAGGGTCCACCCCTACCAGCCCAGCGGCCGAATGCTCAGTGGGTGCGTCCGAGATGCCCCGTCTGTCCCAGCAGTCCTCCGTCGGAGCGCGTCAAGGGGTAGAAGCATGCCACCCTAGCCCGACTCGCAGAGCCAGCCTCCAGGTAGAAGGTATGTGTTGCGTTAACATACCGGACCTGTGTAGTTAATAACTTCCCTTTCCAGTTTACCGTAAATGTCTGTTATTGGCTTGGATTTGAAAATAAATATCTGAATAAATACGACTTATAGTCCGGTGCGACCTATATACGTTTTTTTCCTCTTCACGACGCATTTATTGGCTGATGCGACTTATACTCAGGAGCGACTTATAGTCCGGAAAATACGGTACCAATAAACAAGATCAACAAATATTTGAGCGCACTTCCACAAGCTACTTAACATATATAAATATGATAAATAAATTAGACTAAAAATAATTAGATCAAATATGTTGCAGTGCACTGTCACAACTTAGCAAAGCAAAATAATCGTTTTTTTCGATTATGTTGTTTTCGTAATTGTGGCAGGCCAAAATCGTAATTGCGATTAAAATACGATTAATTGCAAAGCCCTAACACACACACTCAAGCACACACATACAGGCACACTTTTTGTCTAACACGCTAACAAAGTTCTGTACTGTTATGCTGTTATGTTCAGTCATTGTTCTTATATTGAACATGAATACATTTACTTTGTAAGTAATTATGGGACGTATTTCTTCTTTCATAGCAATTTTCCTTCATACTTTATTGCAGTGAAATAGTTCTTTAAATTCTATTCAAAGTGGTCTTAAAAAGTCTTCAATTTGAGTTGGCGAAACCTGCAGGAACCCTGTATACTAAAGAGGTTTTTAAGGGACAACAGGGAGATTCTAAACTCTGGGTTGGTTTACAAAAATACACCCCCTCGGCAGCTCTTATTTAAGACACAATGTAAGATTTCTGCAAACTTCTATTTTTTATCCTTCACATACTGTATACCCAATGTGGAATTGGGTCATACAAATGGAGAGAACCCCCCCCAAAAAATAGTATTGAATTTATGCCAAGCCTGAGGCCTTTTTTGGTGTTGGTGATACAGTCAATACTTTAATAACAATTCATCTTAGATTAAATGTTAACATCGTACTTCATGATCCCTATGTGTGCACAGCTGTGTGAAAAGGCTGTTTTTGATCTGAAAGATAAAATCAGTTCATAAAGTCAACAAAGGGTATTGTTGGCTAAATGAATTGTAACATCAGAGCTATGTCAGGTTTTTAATTGTGACTCAATTTCTCTCTTTTTCTTTTGAAGGATTGAAGACCCTGAAGAAGCTCAGGATAATTTCATAGTTGCAAGATCCAACTGTAAAGGCTTTGCCTTCGTCCACGTAGCACATGCTCAGTTTGAGCTTTCGCAAGGTACATATTTTCTCTTCTTTTATTTATTTTAGTTTCCAGAAATCTGAAACATAGAATTGACCAAAACAAACCAAAAGTACTTATACTTACCGTTGTAAATACATTTTCCATGGAACACATTCAGGTTTCCTTTGTGTAGCATACACTTAGTGTAAAACATAGTGAAATTACAAATGTCTTTCTCCTTGCTTTTTAGGTAATGTGATCAAGGCAACTTCAATTCTGCACAAAGCCCAGGCGTTAAACGCCAGGCCAGCAGAGCTGCTGGAGGGGGCCGTACGTAACCTGAAAGCTGGAGAGAAACTGCTCATGCCCAACAGAGAGGAGGAACATTCCACAGGTAGGGACTCACTGAGGAGCATCGAAAGAGTTAAAGCACTCAGTTGGACTTGGTTTGTCACTAATTTTGACTGTTTTTTTTCCTTGTAGATTTGCAAGTAGGTGCAAGTGTGTTTTCTTTTGGGAGAAACCCGGAGCCTTATCTTCCTGCTCGGGTCCCTGTGAGCCGCTCAGTGGAACAGCCCAAAGCTGCCAGCAGGGAGCCTCTATCGGAGTTGAAGATTCCAACATCCCTCAGCCGACACATTTCCCCAGAGGTCCGAGGACATTCTTTATCATCTGCTATTTCTGTGCAAATCTTTCATAAAATATACACTTGTGCAGAAACATCTTAAATAAATCCTTTTGGTACGCTGTTGTGAGCTTGCTGGTAGATTTAGGCATGATTGATCCTTTTACCCTTGTTTGTCACTTTATCACAATCTTTCCAAATGATTTCCATCCTAGGATAAACAAACAACACCTCCGGACCCCAGACCTATTCCACGTGTTGTTGAGTCTCTCCCCACTCCATCCTTCCATCTACCGTCCAGACCGAACCGACAGACAGTCTGTCAGACTCCAAACGGCTACAGAAACCCCTCTGCTAACAGGTATATTCTTCACTTGGGTTTCTGCTGGTCTGTAACAGAATCAGTTGCAATTACTTTGCCTAAAATTCATATTTTTGTTACTTTATGTGCTGGTTTTAGCATTATTAAAACAGCCCAGCCTCACCCTCTCAATCTCTCTCCCCCTCAGCTTCATCACTCCTGTTGTGAAGAGAGTTGCTGAAATGCCTTCCTCGGCATTGGCAGCGCACAGAGTTGCACCCCCTCAGCAGCCGTGCGCACCGCTGAGCCATGCATCAGGCTTCCAGACCCCACAGGTACAACATGCTCCTGCCTTACCTTAGCTGTTATCTAGAAATTCAATCTGGGACGTGTGTCCTCAAGTTTTCCCTGACACAAAACATTTGTCATTACTTATTAGGAAACAACTATAAATAATACTATTTTGTTTATTTTACTGTACACGTATCTGTTTCCTTACTTCAGCATCAGCTGCCAAACCCTTTTAAACTGCATCTCATCATTAATATTCTATAATTACAAACACAACACTGTATATATAAGGTTTCATTTTCACTTTAACTCCGTATGTTTCATTGTTAGATCAATATTTATTTTTACTGTAATTAAACATTTTATTTTAACGTCGTCTATTGTTTATAACATATGTTTTTTTATTATATCTTTTTGTATTTTATTATTTATACATTTAATTATAAAATTCTGCAACTGTCATTAAACCTAATTTTCCACGGGATAAATAAAGTATTCTGATGTTTCAGTTACAGCTAGGACAATTAAACTAAACTTTAAACCGTATGATAAGATAAAACCTAGGTAATCTGTGACCTGCATCAATGATAAATAAAATGATGAGGCAGACAGGAAATGCATTGTATATCTGGACATCTAGAATGAGATTTCTCTGTTATGAAATTACTAACATAAGTAATAAATTAATAATTGTGTTTTTCTGAATTCTAGGCTTCTCTCTCTGTGTTGTTGAATGAAACCATCACCATTAAGGGCAAACAGTTCATTATTCTCAAGATGATAGGACGTGGCGGGTCCAGCAAGGTAATGGATACGTAGACAACTCATATTGTGATCCAGCATTCCGACACTTCGCCTGTAATGGTGTTTTACTATAATCATTTTTTAAATTTATTTTTTTAGGTCTACCAGGTCCTGGATGACAAAAATCAGCTGTTTGCCGTGAAATACGTCGACCTGGAGGAAGCTGACGCTCAGACGGTAGAGAGCTACAAAAATGAGATTCAGCATCTGAACCACCTGCAGCTGTACAGCGATCAAATTATCAAGCTCTACGACTAGTGAGTATATGGAGGGTTCATATGTAACTCATTTAACCTCAAGGCTAGGTTGTTAACATGTATTATCTTAATTGTATTAATTTTTATTTGCAAATTGAACCCATATGTCAGTGATTTTGTTTTTATTCTCATGAAAAGGAGCTAGCCATGCATTAAACAATTGGGATCAAAAGATACAATCAAGGATAATTTGAATAACCACTAAAATGAATAGTTACTATTGTTGATTTAAAGGAATTCAAAAAACAAAACATTTACATTATATTTTTGGCCAATATAATTTATACTAACCATTCAGATATGACGATTAAGTATTTGAGATGCTTGATGTTTGTTTTTGGTTACGTTAAAAGAGCTTGAAAGGTTATGAATTTACTTCCACCATGTCCTCTCAGAACAAAGTACAGTATATATGCGCAACACAGCTTTGTTCTTATTAGATGAAAAATGTACATCTTTCTTTGTGATAAATTTGGGTGTTTCAGCCGTTAAGACACATTTTAAACTGAAAATTAAACTCCATAACAGCTCTTGAAGTCTAAAGGTAATTTAGATTTCTGTTACAAAAACCATGCCGTTTGTCTTTGTGTTTCCAGTGAAATAACAAACAGCTACATCTACATGCTGATGGAGTGTGGGAACTTGGATCTGAACACTTGGCTGAGGAACCACAAAACTGTGAATCCACTGGACAGGAAGTTCTACTGGAGGAACATGCTGGAGGCCGTCCACGCCATCCACAGCCAAGGTGCTCTTTCTCTTTCTCATTGTTCCATCATCCTATCCCAGTGTTGTTTATTAAAAGGCACACTCTTAATTTCTAACCATTCCAAATGTCCTCTGTGTCCTCCATGCAGGAATCATCCACAGTGACTTAAAGCCAGCAAACTTTGTTCTTGTGAACGGTTCGGTGAAGTTGATTGACTTTGGCATCGCAAACACAATCCAACCAGACGTGACGAGCATTATGAAGGATTCACAGGTTAGATTTATTTCATACACTAAATGAACACATTCAGATTTGTAATGTAAATTGTGCGTTCTTTACAAAAAAAAAATGAAACCCAAGTTTAAATCTAGTTAAAGTGTTTTAAGAGCCAGATATTCTTTAGAAGCTGCAAACAGGTGAGCAGGCAAAAGGGAAAAACATGCACAACTAATACATGACAAATAATAATATATTATATACTGCTGTACCCAATTGACCTTTCGCAAAGCCACGCCCCCCCTTGGTTACTGTTGCTAGTCCGACAAGCTGAGAGCCAGATGCGTTAAACAAAGCCATAATGGAGGGTCTCCGTAACGTCGGAGTCGCCTTAACAGACTCATTTTGGAGCAATAACGCAGCAATATCCTCCAGGTCCCGACAAAAGGGGCTACAATACGCTATGGAGGGTTATATCCACAGTATAAACATTAGAAAAGAGGGAGGCACAACATCAATAGAGGCACTTTCATACAGGTCGCAGTGCAAGAGTG